CGGGGCGCACCGGCGGGGCCTGAGTCTTCGCGGGCTGGATCTGGGAGGCACGTCCAGCTCGGCCGCTTCCCCTTTTGCGGTGCCGCGCCCGCGGGTTGCGTCCGCACAGCCCCACAAACACTTCCTCCCGCTCGGCCCGCCCTTGGCCCGGGCCCACCCCCAAGCCGGCTCTGGGTGGGTGGCCTGCTCTCCCGGAGCCCGGCTGCGTCCGGATCCGAACCGCGGAGGCGCGCAGCCGTCGGGGGAGAAGGTCGTCGAGATCGAGCAGGCGGGGGACCCTGGAGGGCGGCGTCCTGCGCTGTGCGATCCACCCGGTCCAGGGGAGGTCGCCGGAGCAGGACCCGCGGGGAAAACGCTACAGGCGTGGGGAGGCCGAGTGGAAGCAGGGTGCCTGCATCTGTGTTGCCTGAGAAACTCGCGGTTCCTTCTTTCCCAGGCCAACCTGGGAGGGGCTGGGGGCGCCAGGGCCCAGGGTCGAGCCTCTCAACCCGCATAAGCCTGCTGGGAAACAAAACTGGGGCACTGAAGTGGGTTCTCTGAGCACTCATGGTTGCTGCTGGCAGTCATGACGAGCTCGTGGGTTCCGAAATGGAAGGTCCAAACACTTTAAAAGAGCTTTTCTTTTCTCCGTCCCACAACGCCATCACCAGACAATGGGCAGGAGGAGGTCTGAGGTCACCGGAGGGAGGCTGCAACGTGGATGGGCACCCAGGGGCCCGCCAAGGACAGGCCCGAGTGGGCCGGTTAACCGCCCTGCCGAGGGCAAGACTTTCCAGGTGTGTCACCCGTGTGCCCTAAGCCACAGGGTCATGTTGTCAGGTTGTCAACTCAATTCATTAGGGGGTCCTCAGGGTGTTTAAGGGTTGGGCAAACCTGCTTAAAGGGCCAGATAGGAAGCGTCCCAGCTGCTTAACTCAGCCGTGAAAGACAGTGGTTCCAGTAGCTTCATTTACAGACACTGAAATTAGGAGTCCGTGATTTTCATTTGTCATGAAATAGACATGTACCTTTGACCCCAGCTTACACGGGTTGTTTCATTTATTGTGGGGCCATTGGGTGCCACTGTGGGATCATTTCATCATCTATCAGTTTGCTCTCTGGGGGGGTCCCAAGAGGGGTCAGTAGTGATCGCTGAGGATAGCAGTGGTGGATTCACTGGAGGCTGGTCAGTCTTTTAGATATTTATGGGGCTATCCCTGGATGTTAATGAGTCACTGGGAGGTCAGTGGCTTACTCAGGACAAGGTTTCAGTGAAAGACAGTGAGTCATTGTGGGGCCACTGCATTTAGAGTGCTAGCAATATAGGGGTCTGAAGAGTTAGGGCAGCCGAGGGCTCCCCTTTGGTGTGCAATGGCACACTTTAGTGAAATCACTGAGGCTTTGTGGCTGGCTGGTCCTGGGTTGCTGAAGACTCAGTGAGCTTGGAGGACACATGAAAGCTAGCTGAGGATCACTGAGGCTGAGCCTCTGAGCACTCGTGGTTGCTAACAGCAGTCATTATGGGCAAGTGGGTTGCAGAGGCAATGAAGGGTCATGAAAGGTCTTTGTGGACTGTGGTAGTAGCGGATGTCATTGGAGGGGCAGGAAAAAATGCTTCATTCTGCCAAAAACCTACAGGCTGGGTGAGCTATCCCGCCGGCCCACCTGCAAGTTTGGCACTTGGCAAATAGGAATAAGGCACCCCTCTCCATAGCCAAGTGGGAGTCTACTTTCGGCACCAGCGTCTGAGAAAGCTCTTGTTCCCATCTCCTCTAACTCTCCTCAGAGGCTCCAGGTTTCAGTATTCTGAATCGAAGATCTCTCTCAGGGAAAAGGGGCAGCAGCTCCGAGGTGGGGGAACACAGGCCAGGGAGAAAGCCACCCAGCCTTTCTCAGTTCTCTTCTAACCCCCAGACTCTCAGCTCTTTGTGGAGGCTCGTTTCTGTCCCCAGGAGCTGCCCTGCAATTCTGCTTCAAGAAGGGGGAAACCTCTTCGCCATCTTTAAAAAAAAATGACATCCTTAAAATACTCATAACCAACTTTTCCCCCAGGGTGGCCCTACGTCTCCAGGGCAAAGCCTGGACATCTGCATTTCCCAGAGCTGGCCTCAGACACCAGCATGTACCCCTGGAGGAAATAAACTCAGGCAGACAAGTGCTTGACGTGACGCCAGCAACATGCAGCAGCCTCTGACCAACGAACCTAGCCAGGCTGCTGCATCCTCGGCTTGCAGTTTCTACACCTGGCTTTAGCAAACCTCACAGCACTTCCACTGCATGCAGAGCTTTATTAAGAAAGATTAGCTGGCCACATTCTTTCCGGCTGATGCTGACTGAGGTCCTGCACAGCCAAGGGCTCTTGGTGCACCAGGAATGCAGAGCCTCCACATCACAGCCGAGTGTGGTCCTCAGGACAGCCAGAGGGAGTCACAGATCTGTCTGCATCGTGCTGCCCCTTATTCCGAACACCAGAGAGAAGTGCACATCCATGTTTGGCACAGCATGAACATCTCTGGAAGGATTTCAGTAATGAGGTGGCACCCTCCCTGCTGCTGAGCAGGGTGTTCTGAAGTCTTAACCAGAGGAAAGTGGCAAGGAAAACGGAGGAGGGCTCCGTCAGAAATGGACAAGCATATGGCATAATCAGCTAGAAAGCTCTAGAAAATCTTATGAAAAACCATAAGGACTTATAAGAAAATTTAATAAGACAACTAGTTAAATACATGACATACAGACATACATAATTTTCCTGTATACAAGCAATAATACATTTGAAAGTATAATGCAAAAGCGATTTCATACAAGCATCAAGTTTGAACCCCTAGTGAATTAAGCAGTGGAGGTAAGCAGTGGTATTGCCTACTGGCATCAGACATTATTATGAGCCTCCTGATGAAAAAAACACTATAGCCCATCAAGTGTTCCTGCTAAAAAAAAAAAAATCTGAACCTGTATCTGACTGAGCCTCTGGATCTCAGGATTAATTCAGAAAGAAACACAATGGCATGTGAAAATGTTAAATGACATCACAGCGACAAGATCAGCAACATCCAGACTGTGCAACCGCTATTAAGACAAATTAGTTTCCTAATTGCAAAAATAAAAGAGACAGCCTTATAGGCTAAAAAGAGACTTAGAATTTATACACAAATACTCACAGCAGTAGTTTTCATAAAAGCCCACATGGGGGAAACAACCCAGATTTTACCAACTGATGGATGAATAGATATACTGTGGTATATATACACAACACATTACATATTTGGTATATATGTTATACACATGTGGTATATGCATACACCATGCCATACTACTTGGCAATAAAAAGAAATGAAGTACAGACTCAAGCTACCATATGAATAAACTTAGAAAAAATTATGCTAAATGAAAGAAACCAGTCAGAAAAGAAGACATATTATATGATTCCATTTACATGAAATGTCCAGAATTGGCATATCTATAGAGATCAGCAGTACAATAGTGGTTGCCAGGGGCTAGAGGTTGGATGAAGGGGATCAGAGAGTGGCAGCTAATGGGTATAAGCTCTCTTTCAGGGAGGACAAATGTGTTCTAAAATTAGACTGTGTTTACCAAAGTCGAAAGAAAAAGAAAGAAAGAAAAGAAAAGAAAAGAAAGAAAGAAATCAGAGGCAGGCTATGGCTCACACCTGTAATCCTAACACTTTGGTGAGAGGATCACTTGAGGCCAAGAATTCCAGACCTGACTGGGCAACAAAGCAAGACCTCATCTCTACAAAAAATAGAAAAATTAGCCAGGTGTGATGGCATGAGCCTGCCACCTCAGCTACAAGAGGCTGAGGCAGGAGGATCACTTGAGCCCAGAAATTTGAGGCTGCAGTGAGCCACGATCATGCCACTGCAGTCTGACCTGGGTGTCAGAGACCCTGTCTCAAAAACAAAAACAGATCATGGTGATGGTTGTAGCCTGTAAATATAAAACACAGACACACACACTGAGTGAACTGCAGGATATGTGACTATCTCAATAGTTATTTTAAAATATCAACCATTTGCAATAAATGGACCTAACTTGAATCCTCATCCACACATACTGTCACCAGGGAAACCCAAACACAGAATGAATATCTGATGGTATAAAGGAATGACTGTTGATAATTTTAGGTGCACTGTTATTTTTGTGGAGCTCTTATCACTTAAAGACACACATGGAAATATTCAAGAATGAAATGATATGGTGTCTGGGATCTACTTCAAAATAGAATGGTAGACAGGACAGGGGAAGTGGGTTGGCTACGAGGCAAATGAGATTGGCCAAAATGAGACCAGGGACTCACCAGATCATTCTCTCTTCTCTTATATGTTTGAAATTTTCCACAACTACAAGATTTAAAACATAGAGGTGAACAATTATTCCTATAAAGAAAGAGGACAGACAGGTCATAGAAAACATACACACACAGCCAATGAGTATTTGAAAAGATAGGCAACCTCTGTCTATAGGAATGCAAATTCACTTGGGGAAACATTCTGCATCTAGAACTTGGCAAAGGTTAAAGGTCCGATGTTGTCTGGTGGAGTGGCTCACACCCCCATGGTGGCCATGGAAACAGGCACAACCTCTACTATCATTTTAAAGACATAATTCCACTTGTAGGAATGTATTCCTCAGATACACCTGCCTAAGTATGCACAGAGGCCTGTTCGATGATGTTCTCAAAGCAATGTTTGTGTGAGTAAAAACAGGAAACCACCCGACCATGCAGCCACAAGGAAGAAGGAGATCCACATGTATTAGATAGCTTGACAACCTCAGAAATCCTCAAGCTGCCATGAAAGGCAAAGACACAGAGTGCAGAATGGCGTGCACAACATGATCCTTTGTGATTAAAATAAAGCTGCCAGTCACCAAATGTACGTAATACCACAAATACAAAGTATCTGGCCAGTTTTTTGTTTTTTGTTTTGGAAAGCAGGATTTATTGAGAGGACAGAAAGGCTCCTACAGTGGGAAGGGACCCAAGATTTTTTTTAAAAGTCAGTAGTGATGGAGATCTGGCCTCTGGAGAGCAGGGCTGGATTGTCTGGGGCAGAGAAAGGAAGAGGATAGTTTATTTTTACTGTGCATACATCTGTACATTTATGTGTTTTTTTAAACATGAGATGCTTTATTTTTACACTTTAAAGAAATACTAGTATTGGAAAAAAAGATCCAAGTGTCTCCCTTCGCACCGAAGAAAAATGGGCAGAGAACTCAGAAAGCAGCTCTCTGTGGTCAATAAATAAATAAAAGTCTACCCACAGCAATGTCATGATAAGGACCCCTCCTCCCTGGTGCCAGTCCACCAGCAAGGTGTTCGCCCTCCTGGAAATACGGCCAGCGCATACAAAGTGCAGGGCCTTCCTTGCCCCTTCTGCACAGGAAGTACATCACACACACTGCATTACACCATGTTTTAAGTTTAGTATCTATTTGAGGATCTTCTCAATGGCTGCATCTACAGAATGGGAGAGAAACTTGCAAATTATATATTTGATAAAGGGTTACTATCCATCTTAGTTTGTGCTGCTGTAAAAAAATGCCATAGACTGGGTAATGCACCTTCTAGTTGTGTCCTTACATGGCAGAAGACACGAGGAGCCCTGTGGGCACTAATCCCATGTAAGAGGACAGAGTCTCCATAACCTAATCACCTCCCAAAGAGCCGCCTCCTAATACCATCACCTTGGGTGTTAGGTTTCAACTTACGAATTTAGGGGGGACACAAACATTCAAACCATAGCAAGATCCAAAATATATAAGGAACTCAAATACCCTAACAGCAAAAAACAAACAAAAAACCCCAAATAACCCAATTTTCTCCAAAGGAAACATACGCCAATTGCCAACAGGTACATGAAAATATGCTCAACATCGCTAACCATCAGGAAAATGCAAATTTAGACTACAATGAGACACCATCTTACACTTGCTAGGATGGCTATTACTAAACAAAAGAAAAGACAAAGAATGTTGGGGAGGACATGGAGAAAAGAGAACCCTTGTGAACTGCTGGTGGGAATGGAAATTAGTACGGGCTTTATGGAAAACAGTATAGTAGTTCCTCAAAAAGTTAAAAATAGAACTACCATATGAAGCAGCAATCCCACTTCTGGGAATACATCGAAAAGAAATGAAGTCAATGTCTTGAGGAGACATGTGCACACCCATATTCACTGCAGCATTATTTTTGCGATAGCAAAGATATGGAAATAATCTAAGTGTCCACCAATGGATGAATGGATAAAGAAAATGTGATATAGACATTCTTAAGAAATTCTGTCATCTGTGACAACATGTATGAACCTGGAGGATGTTACGCTAAGTGAAATAAGCCAGACAGACACAGAAGAACGCATACTCCATGATGCCACTTACACGAGAATCTACAACAGTTAATTTCATAGAAACAGAGTAAAATAGTGACTGCCAGGGGCTGGGAGGGGGTGGCACAGGAAATGGAGATGCTGGTCAAAGAGTACAAAGTTTCATTTACACAAGCTAAATATTAATAAGTCCTATAAATCTATTGTACAACATAGTACCTATAGTTAACAATACCATTAACTGTACTTAAAAATTTGCTGAGGGTAGATTTCATGTGAAACACTCATCACAAAATGATTAATGAGTATAACAGGGTGACAGAAAATCTTGGAGGTGATGAATGCTACAGCAGTCTGTGGTGATGGTTTCACGGGTGTGTATTTATTTTCAAACTCATCAAGTTAAACGCACTAATATGTATGGCTTTTTGTATGCTATTAATAAAACTAAAAGGTAAGCCAGCAGTCATATAGTATCCAACTCTGTGGTACACTCTAAATTGATGTGCTGCAGCCCTGCTGGTGGACACCCGGGCTGCACACCTTCTGGAGCTGCACCTGCTGGAGGGTGCACACAGGCACATTCCTAAGAACCCACCTCCTGAGTCAGAGCAGGCAGGCAGAGTTACTTTTAGGGCTCTGAAAGGAAACAGATCCCAAACACACAAGCCAAAGAAAGAGTTAAGCTAGGCAACTGTTACAACACAAATACAACCATCTTCCTTAGACCCCAGAAAGATGACTGCAGTAGTGGGGGGCCATATGTTCCCCGGGACAGTCTCCCGCACACATCACACGAGAAAATCCCTTATGGGACCTGAAATCTTTCAGAGTATCTCCTGGCTGACAAAACCTTGAAGCATTCACTGCATCTCCTTCCACTCTTTCCAGGGCTCACTTTATCTTCCATGATATAGATTGTTCCTCTACTTCCCCCCTTTCCTATGTTAAACAGCTAAGTGCAGATTAAGTCTTCACAAGAATGTAAACCACTGGCCTTATGACCTAGCCCCACCTTTCCCCTTTAATATTGAACTCTTTCAAAATCCTCTTTGGAAAAAGATGGATCACAAATGAGATTTCTTTTTTCTGGGTACGTCCTTAACTTTGACAGATGTGATGTGGACTGCTTCTCACTTTTTGTTTAAGAGATAGTCTTGCTATCTGCCTCAGAATTCTTCTCAATATTCAGGTATTTTGGCAAGTGAGGAAGCCAAGCTTATGGGATATCTGTGTCCTATTTTTGCAATTTTGATATAAACCTGAAATTACTTCAACACAGTAGTCTCCCCTTATCTATTTTTATTTTCATGGTTTTACTTACCCAAGGCCAACAACAGTCCACAAATACTAAATGGAAAGATTCTAGAAATAAATACTTCTTAAGTTTTAAATTGTGCTCAGTGTGGCCTGGGATGAGAATCATCCCTTTGGCCAGTGTATCCACGCTGTCTATACTCCATACTGTTAGTTACTCAGCAGCCAACTGTTATCAGATTAAAGGCCACAAGAAGAAAAAGGGTGAGTACAAGATATTTTGTGACCGTATTTACATAACTTTTGTCACAGTATATTGGTCTACTTAATTACTATTACTCTTATTGTGCCTGATTTATAAACTAAACTTTACCATAGGTATGCATGTATAGGAAAAAAGTGTATACATAGCATTCAGTACCAGTTTCAGGCATCCACTGGGAGACTTGGATGTGTCCCTCAAGGGTAAGGGAGATCTCCGTTAAAAAGTTACTGAAGATCTTAAGGAAGAACTTAAATCTTGTTGGGTGACATTATAGCTTTCCCGAGGTTTACTTTGGATGTCCTTCATTCTTAGAGACATATGCTGAAGTATTTGTGGGTAAAATTTCAAGCAACTACCATTGGTAGTTGTCAGACTTAGGTGATACATATAGGGGTTTGTATTCTTTCTACTCTTAAGTGTGCTTTAAATTTTTCTTAATATGGAATCAAAAGACTAAAAAGACTTTTCTGGCTGAGCTCATGCCTGTAACCCTAGCACTTTGAGGAAACAAGGCAGGAGGATACCTTGTGGCCAGGAGTTCAACACCAGCCTAGGCAACATAGCAAGACTCCATCTTTACAAAAAATAAAATATTAGCTGGGCATGGTAGTGCTACACAAGAAGCTGATGCGGGACTACTCAAGTCCAGAAGCTCAAGGTTGCATGATCTATGACTGTGCCACTGTAAATGTTTTGAAATTCCCATAATTCACACAAAACCTAAGAGCACATTCCTCACTGGTGGAGTCACAAGGCCCTGTAGAAGGCACAGAAAGGAATAGGGCCCAAAGTGCAGCGGCCCCTGGAGGTCCCATTCCCAGCCCTCGGGGAACACTGTGCCCCATCCAGTCCCTTCTCCCACTAGGAGCTCCTGAGCACGGTCCACCTGAGGGCCTTGCACAGGTCATCTCAGCAGCCCTATTGTCCCGCCTGACCTGTTTCTTTGCAGGCCTCTAACTCCCTGGTGTGAGTCATCTTCCCCTGCCTGTGAACTCAAGTGTGTTTTGCAGAGTCTTAACATGCACTGTGTGCAACCAGGGCCCTTGGGTCCACCTAAGCAAAGTGGGCATTGAGGGACAAGTGTGGATGGGCCAGGGGAGACCCCAGCCTCCCCAGACAGCACTGGCCCTTCCGTGTGACCTCAGATACCGCCACAGGAGAACAGGAGGCACACTGGGTAGCCCCTGCGTCACTGTGTGTGTGGGAGGGGAGGTGCACTCAATTGCCCAGGGCAGGAAGGGACTCTGCCAAGCCCTGTCCCCTCTTTGGTATACCTGCGGCTCTCACGCGCTCAAAGGAAATGCAGTGTTATGCCATGACATGATACCTGGTCCTGCCACTCGCATCTGCCCTGACATGCTCACAGAGGCCAGGTTCCTCAGGGGACATCAACACCAAATCTCCAGAGGGCAAGCCCAGCGACTCCATGAACCCCACATCAGCACTGGGCCACCAGTTCCAGATCTGAGGGGACCCAGCAGGCTTTGTCCTGCACACTCAGCACACATAGAGGCAGACAGTTGACATGACACAGTTTATTCAGGCCCCTTACCCCCACAGACCCACACCCAAGCTCAGTAGGCCTGTTTCTAGCAGCCTGATTCAAGTTCCAAGTCCACGTTCTGAGTGGCTGGTAGGCTCACTCAGCGCTCAGGAAGACCCTCTTGCGTGCGGTGTTGGTGTAGGGGTGCCAGCGCCACTCCACATCTGCTGTGGCTTCCTGCTCCAGCGTGCCCAGACGGATCATGTACGCTATAGGCAAGACAGGCCATCAGCCCTTGCCCAGCCTACCTTCTTCCCTCCCTTCCCAGAGACATGGGTACAACCCCCAACTCACGCTTCAGCTCAAAGCGAGGCCCGACTTCTGTCAACTCTACGTGGCGGTGGTCCACCTTCTTATAGACATGGTGCCTGAGGGGAGCTGTGGGTCAGCACAGGCAGCATGGGGGATCTGAGGGCAGACACCCACCTGGGGAGTGGCCCACGAACCCACCGGAATGAAATGTAGTCGTCCTGGTTCGCAAAGGTGATAACCCGGTGGCTGTCATCTTTGGGCACAGGGAACAGGTATCGGAGGATGTCAGAGACCTGGGCACAGGGAGGAAGAACAGCAAGTGCCTGGCCCGGCCTGGCTCCCAGACCCCGCCCTGAGGCCCCAGACTTACCCGCTTGCCCAGGCGGGAAGAGAAACCGTGTGTGATGAGGTGGGGCTTGGCCTCCGACATGGTGCCCAGGTCCGGGATGTCATGCCGCATGACCACGTTGCACAGCGTGAAGTAAGCGGTGGGGCCGAAGGGCAGGTGGCTGACAATGAGCCCCACTAGCAGGCCAGGTGGCCGTCAGAGACTTCACTGCGCTTCCCTGCCTTCCTCCAGCTGAGTTCACCCACTACTCCCTTCCTCCAGCCTCACCTGGGGTGCCTCGATGCTCATGGACCACCAGCAGGTCAGTGACCCCATTGGCCTTGCAGGCTCTCACCAATGCCCCCACCTCGTGCCGGCCTCGGTTCATGCGCTGGGCACCTGGGAACACGAACTTCAGCTCCTGGGCAGGGATGGCAGTGTTCACTCAGGATGGGGCCACTTGTCCTGGCACCCCTCTCCCACATCCTCCCACACCTTGAACCTTGGCAAACATCTTGAGACGGGAGCTGGGGTCTCGGGAGGTAGTGATCATGACTTTGGGATCCTCGACTCCAGCCCATCGATATTCATCATCCACATGGCTGGTCACACCTGTCAGGAGCATGGGAGGTGAGGAGACACAGTCTTGAGAGTGAAAAGCTATAATGGGGGTGGTAAATGAAATGCTAACGGGAATGAAATCCCGTCAGGGGAGTAAATGAAATGGTAACCATAGAAGGGTAAGTGAAATACTAACACACTCATGGGGAGGGGGGAATGAAATGCTAATTGGGAGGGAGCCAGGCCTTCTCACCGCTGACAAAGCCCTCAGTGATGGGAAGCCCCACACCCACGACGGGCAGGAGGGTAGCCCTAGCCATACTGGTACCAGGCACAAGTAAGACTGACAAATGGAATCTTAAATCTATTTAACTGCAGTTCACTTAAGCTGTATTAAGTCACTTGGGCTAGTGGCTACCGTAGTAGGCAAGTCCAGATTAGGCCACAGCCAAGGGTGATGGACTCCTTTTCCTCACAACAAGTATCTATAATGTTTGGCACTCCTTTCTTGTTTGTCGAATAATGCAGGGAATTAAACCCGTGGATACAACCTAACCACCCCAAGCTGAAATGACATGAGCAGGGAGTACATGGGGACACTCTTATATGCCATATAAACGGGACTGAGTGTGCTCAGGGAGAGCTCTACGATGCATCTGTACAAACACAAGGGCATAGGGCCAGTGCCAGAAACAGGTGCTGCAGACTCTCCTCAGGTACAAAAGCATGTGGTAAAACTAAGGAAGGGTGTGGAGGCCCCCAGGTTAAGTGTTGGGGAGGGCTGAGCCACAGTTACAGTTACCTTCACCACCGGCATCATCAAACTCCAGGGAGCCCTGTAAGGCCAAGGCCTCCTGGCGTAATTCGGTGGGAATCAGGCGGTTTTCTGTAGGGGAGAGACAGAGGGGTGAGTGGAGCACAAGCATGTAGCCTCTTGTTTATACAATGACTCCTTTCTGTGAGAGGTAATACAGGATTTCTGGGAGGGACAGAGGAGACAAGCAACTTCATAACAACCTGTCAACAGTGGTTACTGGAAACTTCATTTTCTTTGGTCCTTGAGGGCATCCTAAAATGCTTTATCACAAACTCATACTGCCTTTATAGCTAGACAATCTTTAAAAATTTTTATAGCGACTAAGTCCTAGACTGGTCTTGAACTCCTGGGCTCAAGCAATCCGCTAGTCTCAGCTTCCCAATGTGTAGGATTACTGGCACAAGCCACTGTGCACAGCCTGGACAAAAGTTTTTATTTTGCTTTTTATTTACTTATTTTGAGTTGGAGATCTCACTTTGTCACCCAGACCAGGGTACAGTGGCACAATCATGGCCCACTGCAGCTTCAAACTCCTGGGCTCAAGCAATCCTCTCTCCTCAGCCTCCCAAGCAGTTGGGCTAGAGGCATGCACCACAGTGCCTGGCTAATTTTTCTACTTTTTTGTAGAGACGATCTCACTATGTTGCCCAGGCTGGTCTTTAACTCCTGGGCTCAAGCAATCCTCCTGCCTCGGCCTTCCAAAGTGGTGAGATTACAAGCATGATCCATCACGCCCAGCCAAGATAAAAGTCTAAAAATTAATTAAAATTTAAAAAGACTGCTCTTTATATATGAAGGTGGACAGAAGACCCTGAAGCCCTCAGACAACAACACTGAGGTACACAGGTTCAAGTCAGAGCTGGCTGGGCAGAGGGCCGGGGCTGCAGGTGTGTCCACTTTGGAGGACAGAACTCAGTGTGAGCCTGCCCTGTCCTGCCTTGCAAAAAAAGAGTACCACAGCAGCAGCCTGATCCTAACCACGCCAAGCTGAAAACATACTCATCACCACTGTAGGAAAACAGGTGAACATTCATCCGCAGTCACCTGAAGGGGCCCTTGGCCACGCTCTTGAGGGAGCTCAGAAACAACGCTGAGCAAAAAAGTAAAGCAGCAAAAGAACGCGCACAACCTAACACTACTTTTAAAACTAAAACTCGGCCAGGCACAGTGGCTCATGCCTATAATCCCAACAGTTGGGAAGGCTGAGGTAAGAGGATTGCCTGAGTCCACGGGTTTGAGACCAGCATGGGCAACTTGGTGAGACCTCATCTCTACAATAAATCAAAAAATTAGCCAGGTGCGGTGATGCGTGCCTGTAGTTCCAGCTACTTGAAGGCTGAGGTGGAAGGATCACCTGAGCAGCAGCAGGTCAAGGCTGCGGTGGCCAGGAGTATGCCACTGCCCTCCAGCCAGCGTGCCAGAAGAAGACTCCAACTCAAAAAACAAAACAAAACCCAAAAAACACTGAAAATTCGACTAATACAATTTAGGGGTAACAAGTGTGATTTAACCACACAGAACAGCACAGAAGCGGTTTATCTTTAATACAGTATTATTCAACACAGTAATTATCTAAATTGGGGGAAACATTCTTGAATTTCAACGTACTGATCATTTTTGACTGAAGTCGCTGGATGGGTCACAGGTGTTTAACATCAGGCTTCTTTTATTTTTTATTTTTTTATTTTTTTTGAGTTGGAGTCTCACTCTGTCGCCCAGACTGGAGTGCAGTGGCCGCTCCCGG